CCCCAAAACCCCAAAACCCCAAAACCCCATCCAAAATCCCCTACTTGTTATAATATAAATATGGTAAAGACCCCTTCCTTCATTCTGTGCCTAGTAGTCCTTCTAGGTGTTAATTTTGTGGTGCAGGTGTCTGCGATGTATAAGCAAGGATGTTTTAGAGGTTATTATGAAGATGGAGGGTGAAGGCCTTGACATGGCTCGTGTAGAAGTTGATCAGGGCCTGATAGGTGTGATACGTGAGAGGATTATATGTTTTTGGGTGATGACAATATTAGGGTTGAAGGATCTCAATTGGAAGGTGTAGAAGGGAGTACTTGAGGTAAATGAGCTGATGGGGAGTATTATGATATGACAGGGAATGTGTGAAGAAGCTGAGATGGAAAGTGAATCTCAGCTTGTGCATACCAAAATATTTGATTTGAATGCGATAATGACCAAGTATTTGATTTAGAAAGCTTGATCTGTATTGATTTTACCGAGTGTGTATCTCCGAAGCATTTACTCATAAATCCGCAATATACACTTCCAAGTATCTGAAGAACTTTAGATTATTTTATTGACCCCTTTAGTTCTAGAAATATCGAGCTCGGTACACAGAGTTTTCCATATCGGTCCTTTACAGCATTAGCTTCAGAAATCATAAATATTCATTCAAACTCAAATGTGAATATCAATATCTTTACAAGTGATGCTTACATCAAAGATGATGTTCTGAAGCTGATCAATATTACCAATGTAACTATAAGCCAATTTCCAGATTATTTATCAGTCAAGGATCTAAATTTACTCAAAAGTAAGCTAATCGCAAACATTTATTCACAAGCTTAGTATCCCTAATTTTGGAATTAACAATCTTTCTTAAGCTTTTCAGTAATTTTGAATAGAATTGATCTAAATCGATATTTATAGGTTCGGAAAATAGGCCTCTATTAATTCCGACGCATTTCATCCAGCATGGTATTTCAGAGAAAGCTCTCTTTCATATTTTGAACAGTAGCCAAACAAATGAATCATCGGCTCTTGAAGGACATGGCTTTGGGGGTTACGAACTTTCTGCATTTAATGGAAGTATCGGGGCTATTAAGATTTTGAGAACCTCTCTTCAGATTGAAGGAGTAGACTTTTACAGAGAAGAACTGGATTACAACCAGCTCAACAAGCTTTTAGTTTCTATTTATCTTCAAGACCGGCTTTTGAATATTAGTAAGTTGATTTAGATTCATTGTTTAACTTAAATAGCCAACTGTGGGTTTAATATCACTGGAGAGATCGTGAATAATCATGATCCTATCAATGTGTATTTTAAGAATATTGTGGTCGAAGGATACAGTTTGAAGAGCCTTTATCATGATGTTCCCTTTATATGAAATTATCCTGGAGCTTTTCTGCATGGAGAAATCTTTGCAAATAATATAACTTATTTAATTTACAAAGATAGGACAAGTCCTAAAAACACTTGGTTCTTATTTTCAAGCGGACCAGCAAATGTAACTTTCAGGAATATTGACTTAGGGAAGCTATATTCTTCCATGAATGACTTGTCTATAGGAGTTGGCTATTTTGTTTCTCCTGTTTGCCTTCCAGATGATGAAGAAATTCATAAATTCTCTGTTGATTATTTAACAGCCAGTCTTCCTTTTGAAGGAGATGCAACCAAGATTATGGTTAATGGATTCATTGGGTCTCAACCTCATTATCGTATATACGAAATTAGTTTTTCTCATTTTGAATTCAGCAATTATAGGATCCAGCGACCTACTGGTTTCTTAAGTTTAATTGGCTCGCCAATAGACTCAATAAAGCTATCAGACACAGTTGTTTCTAACTGTTCGACTATTGGTAATTTCTTCAGTATTCATATTTTCCACCAAGCTGTGATAAGTAACCTAACTTTTGAGGATATTCCTGAAAATAATTGTATTATGAGATGGGAAGCCTTGGCTAATGTTGTTGCCCAAGATATCAATATCACCAACTATTCCTCTAGCAAAATCAGGACTCTTAGTGATATCAATGTCGTTTGTAATTCACAGACTCGGATTTCAGTCGCTGGGCTTTACTTGAGGAACTGAAGTTTTAGCACATTTCCTTTTATTGATGTTAATGGGAAGCCAGAGTTGTTTGAAATTTTAGATAGCTCATATGAGGGGATTCAGATGGATGGAGATACCTCGTTGATTTATTTTACAGCAGTCTCTTCTCTTGTGGTGTCTAACCAGACTTTTAGATATTTTGTGATTAATGCAGGAGATGAATCGAACAATTTTATTTTGGATATAAACTCACTAGATCTCAATAATTCAGAGAATATAGCACTTGATACTATAATGCTTAGCAGTACTGATATCTCACTGATCAACCTTAAATCAATAGTGCCTTCAAGTTCTGGAGCTAATATGACTTTCACCAACTTGTCTATCAAAGATGCTTACTTAATCCAGCAGAGACCTATGATCTCAACTGAGGGGTTCATCTCATCATCTGATTTCCATGTCATTTTTGATAATTTAACTGTATCGAATATAACTTTTAGAAGAATAGGAGAGATATTTAACTTCAAGCATTATCTAGCCAACCCTGTTGTTATAAAGAACTCAGTGTTTGAAGATTTATCTTCAGCAAGTTTCTATACAGAAGCTATTATATACCCAGATCTAAGCTTATCGACCAGAGTCATTGTTGATAATTGTGAGTTCAAGAGGATCAATAACCCTCAGAGATCATTTATCGAATCTAAAGCTAATGGTTATTTCGAAATCCTTTCATGTAATTTCTCTGAAATATCTTCTACAAACGATTTTTCAGGAATTGCTTCTTTGGCTGGGGATTCTCAATGTATATTTATTAATGATATCTTTACTAATAATTCTGCTATATCTTCTACTCTTTTCAAGATTGGGGAAACAAGTAAGCTTAGCTGAGAAAACTGTCAAATTTTCAATAATTTTGCACTCTCATATGCTATTTTCGAAGTGACCTCAGATGGAAGTATCACATTTAGTAACTCTAGTTTGTATAATAATTATGCAATTCAGCACTCATTAGGGATTATTCAAGAGACTGTACATATTTCAGTTTTGTCGAACTGAAAACTCTATAACAACTTTTATCTGTCTTACGATGAAATCACACAAGCTGTCAATGGGAAATGAGGAAGAATTTGAATGATTAGTGACAAATTGAAGGAGTTTTTAAGTAATCTACTTATTTTCATATGATTTAGGTATTAATCCAAATAAAATCATCGAAACTCCAAAGTCAAATTTTGCTTTGACCCTTATCACAAGTTCGATAAAAGTTACTTCTGGAACTGAAATCTACAACCAACCTTACTTACTAAATTGATTTTTATCTGAAATTTTTATATCAGAAGTGAAACTCTATTCAGTAGAATTCACAGGCATATATATCCTCATATTATCTTCAAACTTCTCTATTGAAAAGAGTTCAATCTATTCAGCAAATGTTATTGAAGAAGGATCTCTGATAAGATCCTCAGATTCCAGAGTAATAATTAACAACATCACTTACTCTAATTCCAATGCTGCCTTTATTCTATCATCCTCAGCTGAACTAGAAGTATATGGCCTTAGATTTCAGAAAATTCATGAGGCTGAGTGGTTGATGAGCATTTACAGATCTCCCAAACTGAAGCTGGAAGATATCCAATTAGTGGACTATTCTACTTCAACTGGCAGAGTTATTTTCATAGACAAATGAGAACACCTCATCATACTGAACACAACTGTAGCAAACTACACAAAGACTTTGTTCGTAATTCGGAGCTCCTATGTCAGCCTCATCGAAAATCTTCATGTGTCTGGATATTACAGAGCTCTTGAGGTTGTAAACAGTAATATCCAGCTGATCAACCACTCAAGCTTCTCTCAATGAGGAAGTGACAAACTAATTTATGCTGGAGCATTGTACATTGAAGAAAGCAATGTCACTCTATCAAATACGAGCTTCTTTGAAAATAAAGCAGTCTCAGGTGGAGCTATTGCTTCTATATGCTCTACTCACATTAACTGAAATGTTAAGATACAGAGTAGCAATTTTATTTTGAATAAAGCAATACAGAAAGGAGGATCAATTTACTATACTTACAACTCTCCGCTTATAGATTATGATACAGTCTTTACAGATAATTCAGCTCCCTATGGAGATAATATTGCAAGCTATCCTGTTATGATAGGCCCTGTAGATGGGAAAATATTGGATAACATCATAATTGATTTTGTTTCTCCAGGAATACCTATCGAACAAGAAATAATTCTAGCATTGTATGATGGAGATGGACAGACCATGGTTCTTGACAATTCGAGTCAAATTGTTATAACACCTCTTTCTGCAAATGCCTCAATCAAAGGAATCAGCTCATCTATACTTACAAACGGAGCCACTAAATTTAGCGGATTCACTCCCATTTCTTCGCCCGGATCATCTCAAGTCGAATATGAGCTTTCAACAAAGGTGATTGATAAAGATAAAGTCAAGAGTGTCATCAACTTAAGGGTCTCACAGCCTAATATCATAGTCAATTTCAGTTACTGAAAACCTGGAGAGCAAGTTATCGATAATCAGTGAATTGAATGTCCAGCAGGCACTTACTCATTTGAATGGAACTCCAATAGCTGTAATCTATGATTAGAGAATGCTGCTTGATTAGGCAAGCAGGAGCTACAGGTTGCCCAAGGATTTTGGAGAAGCTCAACAAATTCTACAGATATAATTGAATGTATTCTCAAAGAAGCATGTGAAGGAGGATATTATCCTGAGAACGATTATCCTGTAAAATGAGCACCAGGTTACACTGGCAAACTGTGCTCTAAATGACAAATTATAGATTCTCATAAATACCAGAAGATTGATGACTTTAAGTGAGAAGTGTGCCCAAACCCAGTTACAAATGCATTGAGAATTATTAGCTTAGTGTTACTTATGTTCGGCTTCTTTATGATGACTATTATCACAAATGTCAGGAAAACAACTGAAAGCGAGTTTTCTACTCTGTTAAGGATTCTGACAAGTTATCTCCAAATCATCACTACTTCAATGTCAATGACAGCCAAGTATCCTTCCTCAATGGCAAATATTTTCATGCCGTTGAACAGAATTGGCGACTCATCAGAACCTTTCTTATCATTCGATTGTTTCATCACTGACTACGAAATCAAAGGCCCCTTCGACTCCAATGCAATTCTAAAGCTATTCTTAATCATGCTGCTGCCAATTTTTCTTTGCTTAGCAGTGTTTAGTGTGTGGTTTGTATTAATGATTATCAGAAAGAACTGGGTCAAAGACATTAAAAGATGTCTCACAGTTTCATTCATCAGTATTATATTCTTACTTCACCCTAAGTTAACTGAGGCTGGAATAAATGCGTTCAGATGAGTCAATCTTGGCGATAACTCTTACGCAACAAGAATCGACACTGCAATTGAGTGATACTCATCATCCCATCTCAAATGGTGAATTCTCATAGCTGTACCTATCCTGGCTATTTGGGTGGTATCAGTCCCGGTGATTGGATTAGTGATTCTAAGCAAAGCTCACAAATCAAATAACACAAGAGTATTAGAGACATTCCTGATTTTGTTCCAAGGCCTGAAAGACGAAATCTTTTACTGGGAATTTGTTAACACCTTCAGAAAAGTATTAATAGTGATGTCCTTTCTTCTCCCTACAAACTACAAGATAGGATTTTCAATAATACTTATGGTAGTGAGTGAAAGATTAGAAAGAAGATTAAAACCATACAAATCTGAAGAACATACAAACATTTCTCTTCTCTCAACAGCAGCTGGAATAATAACTTTGAATGCAAGTTATGTCTATGAGCAGGAAGGAAAAGTTCCTCATCTCAATTTTGTAATCTTATTGATGCTCATAATAGTAAACTCTAGGTTTCTTATAGAGTGGAGCTACTTATTCCTGAAATGATTTAAATCCAAATATAAGCTAGTAAACTATGTGAGGAAATTTATTTAAGTTAAATATATAGGTATTTATATTGACAACAAAGTTGCTTTGAAAGAAGCTTCCTCAGGATGATAGTTATCAGCAAGACCAAGATATTTCGCAGCCAAATAAGGTTTTATATAAGCCAAGAAGAAGAGGAAGAAATAAATTTAAAAGAAAGAGAAGAAGAATTAGAAAAATTAAGAAAAAACAAATGTAATATCCATCATAAACCATAGCAAAAATCCAAAATTTCAAACCTCTAAAAAGAAACCTACAGATAAAATAAATTATACAACACAGAGAGTAATTTTTATTTTGACAAATTAAGGACCTTGTCTCCAACCAAGCAAGCAGGATATCATCAAATAATGCAGAACAAATCGCTGAAAGTACCCCTACTATTAACCCTTAGGATTCCAGATCACAACCAAAGCAAGGAAGATACCAGTCAGACTTGATTCTGACATTGTGAATTACTCAAATTCTCAAAAGAATTTCTTTGAATAAGCCCACTTTTAATTTATCAAAGAATAGTATGATATCTATATATCCTTCAATTTCTGGCCACACCCTGGGGTTTTGGGGTTTTGGGGTTTTGGGG